ATATATCTTAATGTCATTCTACTAATGTATACCTAACAGTGTTGCTATCATATAGGGGTCTATTTATAATTTGCAGGGTGAGCACATTATGACCACTAGATGAAAGTGAGGAGCATATGACATAAATATTTAGATCATGTAACATTATACATAATAAATACTATTATGCTCCTGAGCTTCACCTAGTGGCCATAATGTATTATTACAAAAAACAAACTACATTAGAACTGAGAAATTCCATCTACTGGTCATAATGTATGTTTACAACACTATGGGGTCTATTCACGAAGCAGCCAAAGGATCTAGCCGTAGCTTCGGCCGATCCTTCGGCTAGCTTCGGCCCCAGGCCCCCATCGGTTCAGGAGAACCGAAGGGCTGCTGTACGGGCTATTCACTATAGCCCGTACAGCTCCCGAACTTGGCCGAGCGGCTCAGTCGAGCCGAAGGCATATGCCTCGGCTTGGCTGAGCTGCGCTGAAAGCCGAAGCTGGCCGAGCGGCCGGCCAATGGCCACTTGCAGAGAGATCAGCGTCCCTGGTTACCAGCTAACCAGGGACACTGATCTACAGACAGCCTAACTCTCCCGGGCGCTCCGGGAGTCTCCCGCTTCCGGCCGCCAAGGAGAGAAACGCTGCTTTTTCTGTTTTTTCTATTCTGACACGGAGCCGTGTCAGCATAGAAAAAAAATTAATATTTTTGGCCGTAGGAATGCATTGCTAGATTCCTATTGGCTATTTCAATTTGCAATAACAAACTAGCATTGCACCCGCCCTCTGCTGCAGTTCTCCATTTGGGCCCCACTACCGATTGACAGCAGCAGAGGGCGGGTACAATAGCTAGTTTGCAATTGGCTATTGCAAATTGCAATAGCCAATAGGAATCTAGCAATGCATTCCTATGGCCAAACATTTTTTTTTTTCTGACATTTCTTTTTTTTGACAGCAGAACCGCGGGCCAATGGAAAACGTTGGGAGGAGCTAGCTGCCATTGCTAGCTCCGCACAATCGTTTTCTATTTTTCTACTTTTTGAACTATTTTTCTGTTCTGCTCGGTCCCACAGAGAGACCGAGCAGAACAGCCAAGGCTATTCACTCACTGCTGTTCAGCATCTATAATAATTGATCGAACACCAGTGAGTAGCCTGTTGGAGGTTCGGCTTAGCCGATCCAGAAGTTGGATCGGCTGAGTCGAACTCCTTCTGCACTTTGGGTCGGCCGAACATGCTGAGCATGTTCGGCCGACCCAAAGCCACGCAAAGCCACCCAATGTACGTCTGATTTCAGCCGATATACGGCTGAAATCAGCCGTACCAGCCTGAAGTGAATAGCCGAACAACGTTCGGCTCACTTCGCTTTAGGTCGGTCATTCACTCGGCTGCCTACAGCAGCTTATTGAATAGACCCCTATGTTTGAACTGGAAAAATATATTAAGAACATTGGCTTTTGGCAACATTCGTCCAAAACGAATGTTCACAGATTTTTGAAGGGCAAACGACCCTGCACATCGTTTATAAATAGATCCCATAGTATGCATAGTCAGTTTATTTCCAAGACAAACATGATAAAACCTGAAATCAGCTTGAATATAAGCAGTAAGTATCATCTAGTACATAATACAACTTATTTTTTACATTTCTCAATACAACTTTTCTAAATACAGATGTTTGCAGTGAATATTGCTTACTGCTTTATCAATACTGTATACAAAAGAAAACAATGATGTTTATTTTGGAAAACAAATACACATTTACTTTGTCAGCTTCTAACAACGTCTACATTTTAAATACAATTTCAGACAGCCTAATCCAATTCAAGAGGATGTCAAATGCTTTGCATGCTATGACAATTCTGCAGCCTGAGCATAAACAAAATGGTCTTAATTATGCCACTTATTACCTTAACACTCTCAGAGAAATATAGCTAAGAGTGATAATTAGAATAAAAGGTCACAAGTAAGTGGGACGACATGGCGAAATAATAACTCAAAACCTTAATAATTTGTCTTAAATTACCTTTAAGACTGTCTGAATACATGTAATCAGACACAGCACAATCACTGTTCTACCCACAGTCAGGCTAATGAATTAAATACACTATGAAGCTGGTAATGGTGATATGAAGCTTATATATGGCTACCACAATTGGAAATTAGTGAATGAATCCTCCTATGGTTGAGATAAGATCAAGATTCATAGCCAGCAGAGATTTATGAATATTACTTCATCCTCTACCATCCTCACAGGTTGAATTTATTTATACCTGATAAAAACATGCAGTTGCTCACTACAGATACAAGCCTGGTACACCAGGTGTATGGACTGACAACAACATAGTTAAAGGGCAACAAGAATGTGTGTCCCTAAGAATGCTGGTAAAAGTTAGTATGCCATTCACTAATGTGCAGGGAGGGGCCCAAAAAATGTCCCCCCTTCTTAAAACAACCTGGTAATAGGAATGGAGAAAAAAATACAGTCATAGTATTAATAGTACCCTAGGCTTAAGCAAGAATGTTTCACTTTGAGTATGGAATCTTCTGCACTCTTCAGAACTGTCAGTCTATGTATTGGATACGTTTGTTGTACTGACAAAATATTTCTGCATTTGTTGTTTTGCAACATACATTTTACTAGGTCACTGGGAATGAGGGTAGCAACATAAATGCAACAGACACTTAGTGCATATCAGCACTGTTGGGTTTTTGACAGGGAAGGTCCAAAGAACATTTATTTTAAACAGTCAGTAGGTACAGAAGGACAGATGTCCTGTTATCAGTATGCTGGTCATCCACCAGCCATGAGGAATAGTGATCAGGAGATCTGTGGCTGAAAACCTGGGTTATCTGATCATGGTAATTAAATTGGCCTTACTACACCTAAACTATCTTGCAAGAACAAAAGGAACTTATGAATACTAAGTATTCATGGACATTTTAAACCCTTGCTAGTCTCAAGAGTATTACATTTGTCAAGGTTGTACAATGCATTTAAGAACCCCTCTAAGCACCCTTCATCTCCAGTCTGGCGGTGCTGAAGAGAGATATTTATGGTAATACCTGACGTAGCTTTAACAAGTATGTGTACACTTTAGTAAACATTTATCAAGCTCAGAGCTCTGCAGCTATATCTATCCTAAATGCTTAGTAGATACCTGCTGAAACTTGCTAAATCTTCAAGAAAATATTAAACATCTGGCTATCCATGCAGTTTAAGAAAACTTGTTTAGTGTTGTACTTGAATTAAATTAAGCTGTGTTCATCCAACGCAAAGGTAAGTTAAACCACCAAACCATGTCTCCTATATCTTTGGGACTTTACTGGTGAGATCTGTGCTCAAATGCCAAAACCATTATAAAGGATACCCACTCTTCTTGTTGGATTTTTTTTATGTGACCCTTTAAAAGCCTACAGGTTTGTTAAAATATGTCCATCTAGAAATACTATGTAAGTGCAATTTGACCATTATTATTTTCTGAAAATCTCATCCCTGCGTTAGTTACTTTTTCTGGCTTCCTTTTATGTTCAAAAATTGCTTCGAGCACTCTGGCTGATGAATGGTTAATGCAGGCACTGGGGGAGAGATTCACCCACTCAAACACCCACTATAAGTTCTGTAAATGGAATATTGCTGTAAATGAAAAAAGGGGGTGTGTGTGGTGACTGCATATCCAACTTATAGGGGCTCCTACAGTGGCCACAGTGGCTCCTAGAGACTGCAAGTTATTTACAAAGAAAAAAAATCCTTGTCATGTCCATTTAATAAATATATTTGACATAAATATCCATCAGAAATATAAACTGGGAAAGCTAAAGATCAGTTGAAGGGTAAATGAAAAGAAACCAAACTTCCTTTTAATAGACTATACTTATCTAATTTAGAAAATGGCAGTATTTGGTTAATTCCTTGAGGTCCCTAATCCAAACTGAAACAAATTATGTACTGCACGAACTTACCAAGTACCTCTCCTCTTCTTTCATGCTTGGTGTACGGATCATGTGATTTTGTTCTCCTCTCCAGTCTCCAAACCGTCGAAAAAAATAATTGGAGAGAAATCGGTTCACTGGGTCTCGGATTATGTTAATGTACACTGGTTGCTCTGCACCAAACCTACAAAAACATATAGCATAAATGATTATAATAGATTGTACTGAGTACTGATCTCACACTACACAAAATAAGTGGATTTGTATATGTGGTATGTACATGGGAAGGTTCCAGGCTGCTTTACAACTTGTCTAAACAACAATAGTCTAATCAAAATGTTGTATTCACCGTATGGTTGCAATGTACAGAAGGGTAATTTCAAGAATGTGATTTAAGCAGAGCTCCAGGAAAAAATCATGGAAATGACAGTGCAAGGTAAGTGAAATGGGGCAATATTACACCTCCATGGTCTCTTTTCTGAAATACAGTTCTCCGAAAATTGAGCAGGGAGTACAGTAACAGCAATAGCTTAGTTTTTCTTCCTGTCCCAGCTCCTTTTTTAAATAGAAATAACTTAAGTAGAAGTCTATGGGACCACCACTGTCCTATAGACCGCTCTTAGGGGTATTTGGTGTCAAGAACAAATATACTGCAGATATTAAAAGCTGTAACTTTTGGTTAGAGCAAGAAAACATGTTTTATTTCACAAAGAATAGCATAGCAATTAGTGCAAAGAAAGCTAATAACTGTAAATTCTACCTGTCCAAGAATTATTTAATTGACAATTTATGGCGTAATTGCATGCCTTTTCAGTGTTCTATATCTACTTCGGCTTTTTTGCAGCCATCATAGAACAGCTTTTCATCAAACGTTATAATTCCCCTGAAACCAGGGCAAAATATGTTCACCTCATTTTATTGCATGGGGGGAATATTTGTTTTGGACGCTCCAGTGGCGATTCTGGAACAGCTTGTGGTGGAAGCTAGGCTTGGATGCGCCAGCAATATCTTAAGCTTGTGATGTGCAGCTTTTCACAAGCTGGTAAAGTTTACATGTACAAGACCCTGCTCAAGAGAATAATAGTCATGCCCATTTGAATATTGAACAGAATTCTCTATGATATGTGCTTCACAAACACTGGCTGGAAGTGGCAGACCAAGACCATGAAAACCAAAGAATTCTCCATTGGAGATATGTATTAATTTTCAATATTTTGATCAACAGGAACAGAGGGTGGACGCAGGCAAGATTTGTTATATACACAGATCCACTTTAACAAAGGGTACCTGTAACGATCGCGGCTTGCGTTCCACAAGGGACCGCAGCCGCAAATCAGGAAGTAAATCGCCGATGCGTTCCAGCGTGGAACGCATCGGGCCGCCCAGCGCCTCCAGCACCTCCCCTATCCAATCCACATAAATAGCAGGAAGCCGGGTCAGTATGGCGTTCTATTATTCATCTGAGAACGCCATCTGACAGCCTGCTGCGTGAGCTGTGGACCCAGAACCCCTGAAAGCCTGGAACCTCTCTGCAAGACATCTGCAAAACAGCAAGTATAGGTTCTCTGTGAAAGTAACAGAAAACCCTGTTAGCCACTGCCGAGCTCTTCACTAGAGAATCAAACTAGAAAGAACTCTTGTGGCTCATTGACTGTCTCTTACTCCCTCTATTGGGGAAAACTCGGAACTGCAAACTGCATATATTCATTATAAGTTTTACCTATTGTATGCTTTGAATACCCTGCGTATAACTCCTGCTTAAACTGACGTTTGCAAAGGATTACTTTTGATTACTACTGAAATTACAATCTGCATAACTATTTTGGATAAAAGTCGCACCTGAAACTAAGGAGCTACTCTGAGTGAACTGTGTTAACCCTTACTAATTGCGGCACATGATGGTAGGGTTCCAAACTCTCCGTTTAAGACTCTGAGAGTGACGCCTGGAACCCGACCCTGACGCCGTACCCTAACAAACAACCCTGCACCTGTATAGCCTCCGCAGCTGAGACTCTTACTATTGCTACGGCATTACAGTACCTATCCCTTTCAGAATATCATGGAGGCATCACATGAGGTTTGAATACTCATCTGGTAAAACTTAAGAGAATGAGAAGACCAGGTGGCAGCCTTGAAAATCTTAGAAACCGATGCCTGATGCTGAAAAGCCCAAAGGCACCTACAGACCTAGTAGTGAACGCTTTGGCAGGAAAAAGCGAAGACTTGCAGTATTTTTAAGACAATACGCTTGTATGATATCATTGAGAGATGGAATGTTAAGCTTTTTCCCCTTTACGGGGAACATTAGGAATGACAAAAAAGAGCCAGTCGTCCTAATTGAATGTTAACAGTGGACAAGGCAGGAGAGCGAAGTTCTGCCCAGGCTGGAACCCTCTTTTGCCACTGCAATGCTTCTGATTCCTCCCTGATAGTTGATATATGCCACTTCTGTGACATTGTTGTCTGGGTTTCTTACCCTTCCTTGTCCAGTCACTTGCAGCATGACTTGTAGTGCTTCTGACAGTGCTGTTCCTCTTTGGCGCCCTCTTACGTCCAAACCCGTTAACATCATCATTCTGCTGCTACTAACAAGACTCCTGGCAAATTCCAATCTCAGAGTGATAATGCAGGGCACCAGTTCACTATTTAGCCTTCACCTTGTCCATTCAGTCTCCGCATTTGCATTTGTTCTGATCTACCAAGTGCTCTGTAGTTCCTGTTCTCCGTGCATGACCCTGGCTCTGGCTCCTACCTCCAGCTATTGTCTCTGTTCATCCTGCTATCCGTGCTCCCTGACCTGGTTTTACTGACCACCCGTTTTGGCATCTGACCCCCGGCTTGGCACCGACAAGGTCCTGGACTTTCTCAATTGTTTTTTGCCATTTATGTTTATTGTTGTTTTCAATAAACGCCTCCGTTTCTTGGTTTCCCTAACACTTGTACAATTGAATTCTGAGCAGATGAAATTCCAGTCAGGGAGTCCAGTGTTGTAGAGACAATAAAAATACCTAGAGCTACAGAATGTTGGGAGATCTGATTCCACTGGCAACCAAGTCCCCTGCACCAAGGTGTTGTTAGGATCTTCCAAGATAGTGGGAGGAAAGGCATCCACCAACTTCCGAGCTAGATTCCCGAGCCACCAGCAGCAATAGAGGATAGAAGAGTGAATACATTACCAGGATTTGTCCAGTCTCAGTACAGAAAAGGATCAAGTAAGCACTTTACTGAAAAATTGATAGTGTTGGGGCCCCTCAGGAATCCCAAACTAGTAGCAACACTATTATCAGCCATGGGCTGTTCCAGTTTTAAGCTAGCTCCCACCACATCAATAATAACCAATATGGTATCTTTACATTTGGGCGCTATATAAGTTGATTGTGGTTCCCTGGGAACAAATTATTTCAGAACAGATTTCTGGGACTCATTTGACAGTGCATCTGCAGCAGAAGGTTCAGAGGTCGCTACAGCTGCAGGAATGTCAGATAACGATTTTAGAGAAGAAGGTGTAAAAGTAAGCTTTTGGCCTCTGTGTTCCAAGTCAGCAATCATAGCTGCAATTGTGTCCATAAATTCTAGTGTAGCTGTAGGGAACGCCTCCCTGGATAAGGCCGAGGAGGGGGCAACACCTGACGCAACTAAGCAAGACTCTGAGTAGTGTGTAAACGCAAGTAGGGGGCAACAATCTAGGCTATCAGTGTCAAGTCCCTGAGAAGGGACACTACAGGTCACCCCAAAACTGTTAGTGGAGCTGGGGAGTCCTGATATAGCGAACTGCTCCCTTTGTGCTCGGGACCTGACATGCTGCGTTCCTAGAGTGAGGCAACTTAATTAAGACACCAAGTGAAAAACATTGGACACTCACAAACAGCTGCTAAAAGCAGGAGAGGGGTTACTAGGCTGGAGGTCACTAAGTCACTGTAGGTGACAGCAAGGACTAATCGAGACGAAAAGCTTGTGCCTCTTGCAATTGCGGAAAGCACTACCTCACGCTGAAAAAGGCGGGAGCAGAGTGTGGAGAGCACGCGCATGACACTGCAGCTAGTAACACAGAACTTAATTCCTCAGTGTGTTAAACCTTTCGATGGAAACCAACGGAACAAGAGGTAATGATGGCATACCAGTAATGCACCAGTAATGCTCAGACACACAATAAAGGAGTCTTCAGAGTCTTAACATGTTCTTGAACCTGAAGGTGCACTGCAGCCCAGTGCCTGAAGATGGGGGGGGGGGGCGGGGAGTTACAAAACTTGTCGTCTCTGCATCACTGCTTTGCTCCAGGTCTGCCAATAAGGTTTCACATAGACCAGGAAGTGCGAAATTACATTGTGGGAACTTCCTGCTGTGTGGTCACCTACAGATCTCCTTGCGCTAATAGCAAACAGCGCCAGACCAGACAGAGGCAACACAAAAGGCAGGGTACTAAGGGCATAAACTAGAAATCACAAGGCCCCAGAGCAGAAAAAAACACCACTGTACAACACTCTAATTACCCGGATTGGTTATTATGTGGCAGTGAAATTGAGGGAATTCGAGATCTGTGGAGGTGGAGAGTGGATCTTATTCAGTTAGGGTGCTATAGAAAAAGGATAACTGTACATTGTTTAAAAGTACACTTAGCTTTTAAAGTGACTATGAAAGAGTGTAGTAGTTAGGAATGTGCATCATACAATATAGCTTATACAGGGTAGCAGCCAGGGCTATAAATCATACAATATAGCATACTGTACACAGTGTAGCAGCCAGGACTATTTATTATACAATATAGCATATACAGTAGAGTGGTCATGAGTATGTATAGCATAAGAACGCATATGGAGTGGACCTGCCACCTGTTTGTGTGCAGTGCAGCATTGACTGCTGGTGCAGTGGCATATTGCAGCAACAGGTCTGGGACTGGAACTTATAGGTCTTGAAGACACCCCGCTGGTAGCTTACCATACACACTGCACTCCAAATTTCAGGAGTGCAGTGGCAGTGGAGGCTGGAACTGAGTGGGCTGATAGGGACAGAGGAGCTGCTATTGACTGAGCCTGCTGCCTTTTACGACACCTCCGTCAGCAGTAGGTAAACAGGAGGCAACTAACAAGAGGGTAAACTACCTGGATAGACGGAGCACACTTGTAAAAAAAAAACAAAAAACAAATAACAACAAATATATTTAACACATGCTTTGTGTTTTAGGTC